TCGAATACAGTCAGCACATTTTCAATGAAATATATATATATATATATATATATATATATATATATATATATACCGGTGAAAGAAATTTGAGAAAAATAAAAGAAAATAATAATATTGATAATAAACCTAATAATACCTATTGCATATGTCCTATATGAATAAAATGTGTCACTGCTGACACTGGAGTTTGAACGTGAATCTCTGGACAATGAAAATGCAGACCATCATTTACTATAAATAGAGATATTATGCCACTGAGTGGTAGTTACAATTACGTGTGTCGAGTGTCCCGTGTTTCAAGACCAATTAGTACTTTTCTTAGCAGCTATAAGTAGTCGTTTATTAACTTATAAGTAATCAATAATTTTTCCATTGACTCGTTACTACTTTGTTGTTAATCTATTTTAATTGCGTTTGATAATTAAATACTTTATTATTTTACATTGAAGACTTTCTCTTATTACTTATGTACGTGTGATGGATTACAGAAGTATATTAGTAGGCCTTTTAACAAAATGGAAGTTTATCTTGACAAGATGAAAAAAAGTGGGTTTTTCTTTTCAAGGGACTTTTCCCCCTCATGTGTTAATATTAGAGATCTGATAGATTTTGGGGGGCTAGTTTGTTAGCCACGATCATGGTTGCAGAGGGTTTGTAGAAGGCTTTTTTGTAGAAACTGTATTCTTTGAGTATACCGGAATACCTGTTTGATCCTAGAATGGGACATATATATATATATATATATATATATATATATATATATATATATATATATAAAGCTCTTGAAAATATATTTCAATTGAGCACTCTTGAGAGACAGCTTAATTCTACAAACAACAGCCGCCTAAGCTAAAAACGCAAAGCTCTTCGGTAAAATGAATAGGAGCACTCTGGCTGACTGGCGTTTGTTTACATTCGTAAAAACAATACGCAAGAATTAGCAGTTTCTCTCTGTCGAGTGCTTAGTGGTAGACACTCTGACTGACATCAAATCGGTCGGGTTTCGATCATGGCTTGAGCCTTTCGGATGTCTAGTCGCACTGAGGAACCGTGATACAGCGAGACAGTACCGTCTGCGAATGACATATATATATATATATATATATCTCCCATAAAATGAATATTAGCACATTCACTGTTTATACGTTCAATCAAGTGTGTTGCATCTGTGATTTTGATTGAGTATACCTTCTCCTTTTGCATACCCCCAGAAAAAGAAGTCATTTCTTTCTTTAGACAAAACCATGTTTAATCTGTGGATTTTGGTAAAACAAATATAGTTAATGATATCTCCTATGTGTCCAGACATTAGGGACACACCCTGCATATGTATATATGTGCGTGGGAATGTATATTTTCCTTCAATGGCAGACCTGAAAACATTTCTACGAAATAAAAATGTAAAAAAATATTCTATTTATGACCGAATATTTTCGAAAAGTGCAATAAAATCTTACAATTATCTTTTTTTTTTTTTTTTTTTTTTTTTAAGAGTTAAAAAACTTGAGTTTTTTTTTTCTCCGATGTTTTGATATTATTGCGCTGAACTGAGTAGGGGTTGTCCAGACTGATTGCGAAGGGAATATATTCCAATGTCTTATTTCAAATTCAGTCAAATTGTGAGTATGTACGTTTGCTTGTACGCATTTATTTTTATTTAATGGTAGGGCTAAAAATATTTCGAAAAGATTTTAAAATATTTTTAAAAAATGGATTTGTTTTTATTACTGAGTAATTTCCCTAAAATTCAATAAAATCTTATAATTAACTGATTTCGACTTCAAACGGCCATTTTTTAAGGAAAAAAATCTAAAAGCAATAAAGAAATTGAATAGATAATACGAAATATCATTAGATTTATTTGAATAATATACTGGAAGGGAAAGAACAAGTTGACATAAGTGTCAATCACTGCTAACAGATACAGCAGCCACATTTGTTGGCTTTTTATGCAAGTGCAGACAGCGAATAAAAGTGTCCAAGCAGAATCAAGAAATGAAAATGCTTTGCAGACGTAGACATTATTTTTAAATAGAACTTTTCTCATCCGGACATTTACGAGTTAATTTCTCATTCATAAGCGTTGACCTTGTACTGTTTAAACACGGAGCGGGGAAAAAATAACGCAACCTTAAAATATAAATAGCAGTTTTCATCTCTGACTCAGTGTCAGTGCAGCTCCGTTCTAAGTACAAAAATAATGTTTTCCTCTTTCAACTCACACGAGGCTTTTTTTCTGTTGTTAAAGTATAATGTTTCATCTCTTCGCATTCAATGATTAACATTCTCTACATTAATCGAGGTTGTAATATATATATATATATATATATATATATATATATATATATATATATATATATATATATATATAAACAAACAATTCTTCGGAGTCTTGTAAGGAGCTGCTTACTAATGCTATGTAATGAGCGGGGTTAAAGGCGATAGACAAGTTCCACATGCACACCAAAAACAAGGAGGGAAAATGAAAGGAAAGAAATGTCTTCGTTTGGTGACAAGTCATTTGATAAAGCTAACAACGTCAAATTAAAAATATGGCAGCGTTTGTGGCTAAAAATATAATTTTGTGTTTAAATTGAAAAAAAAAAAAAAAAAGAAAAAAAAGGTAAATAATTTCTTCAAAAGGATTTTTCTCCAAAAACATGATTCTTTTATAAAAACTAAACTTTTATAAAATAATAATTAAGAAAAAGGAAGTTCGCAGTAAATGAATTTTTTTTTTAAATGCATTCATTTCAGGGTAACTGAAACCATTTTTTTAAATTCAAAACTGTGAAGAATTTAATGGGCAACATTATTTTTATAAACAGAAAATAAAGAAAAGTAATCAAAAGAGAGAGTATATATATATATATATATATATATATATATATATATATATATATATATATATATATATATATATATATATATATATATATATATATTATATATATATTGTTGTCTTTATCTTGCCATATTCACGACATTTCAGCTATAGTACGCTCTGGCCTTCTTTAGCTTTACACCAAGCTACCTCACAATTCACAAAGACGGTATTCGGCGTGGTGTAATGGTTAGTAAGCTTGTCTTGCTATGTCAGTTACTACTGAAAAGTGAGTTCGATCCTCACTGGATGCCCCATATTTCGGCCTTGGAAAGTCTTAAGACGGTATTCTTCTCAGGCCGATTGTTAGTTGCCAAGGCCTCTGTGTGCCACTCTCTGAGTCGCTTCCTTGTAGATATAATTAACTCATTAATAGGAAAGTCACCTACATATGTCCGAAACTCCGCCGATTTCGTGAAAATAATCAAAGATGTTCCCATCCAATCCAACCAGATGGTGAGCCTGGACGTGGTGAGTTTGTTCACAAGGTACCCACGGAGGAGGCACTATCGGTAGTCATGGACAGACTGGCCTCGGACTCATCCCTAAGAGAACGGAGCAGTATAGATAACCTTATGGAGATGCTGACTTTCTCTACACAAACAACACACTCCGGAATGCGATCACATATATATCAACAGGATGAAGGCTTAGCAATGGGCTCGCCATTATCACCAGCAATGGCAAACATATATATGGAATACTTCGAATAAAGGGCATTATAATACACATTACTAAAGCCAACCCTATGGCTGAGATACATAGATGACACCTTCATACTCTGGCCACACTAGGAAGAAGTCCAGCTACTACTGGACCATGTGAAGTCAATAAAATCATCGATACTGTTCACAATGGAGAAAGAAAACAACAAACTCACATTGCTGGATGTACTAATATTTCGAACGAGCATGAGTTCAAGACATCCGTATACTGCAAGCTAACATTTATCGGACAATGCCTCAACTTCAACTCCCACCACCCATACAGTGGAAAGAAAGGGATCGTCCAGCAAAAGTTATAAGTGGCGACATAGAGACATATGAACAAGAAATTGTCAGTATAAGCAGTACCCTACAACGTAATAACTACCCAGGATACATGGCAGCAACTCTGACAAACTAAGATAGAAAGGTACAAGAGGATAACATCTCTCAGAAAACAGCTTCGGTCTGCCTACCCTATGTGAAGGAATTGTCGGAAAAATAAGATTTGTGGTCTACATAAGACCTCTTCCGAGTAAGATACTCCGCATCGCCTATAGAAGAGAACATGACTGTGTGTACGCCATCCCGTGCAGCTTTCGTAAGAAATATAGAAGGAGAAACAGGCCGCCCCCTTAAGGTAAGACTGCAAGAACATCGTAAAGCCGTAACACGAGGGGAAATAGAGAAATCAGGCATAGCTGACCACATATGGAGGGAAAAGGCAGATCACCGACCCCTGTGGGTTGAGGATGATATAGAGAGAGAACATCACTGGAAAATACGGAAACTTAAGGAATCAGCATATATGCTAAACTACAAAAAAAGCATAGAAAGGAATAGAATATGGGAATCAGTAATACGGAGTGTTAGAGAAAAGCAATAACAACAAAACTGCAATAAACTGCGGTAAAAATGGTTTTGAGACTTATAACAGTGGATAACAACGTTGGCTGGATCCACGAACTTGTGCGTTCAATACCTGGCTACTGCAGTGGTGAACAGAAACTTGGAGAGTTGAATTAAAGGGAGATGACGCAGACATCTGGAAGAGGCATGGCACATGGAACTAGAACAATCTACTTGCTAGACGAAATAAAGGGTTCAGTTTGAAATTCCAATCACCTGAAGAAGACCGGAGCGTAGATCGTCTGAAATGTGAATATGTCAATACAGATAAGGACAACAGTCCGAACAATGTAAATAATTACAATACCTCATCTCAGATATATAATTATTTTACGGTTTGTCAGTCTTTTGCAGGCAGAAAATACTTTTAGGAGATAAGGATTTACTGATCCATGTTCTACTAATTGGTGGATTCATACGTTTCCCAAGTACGCATAAGAGAATATAACGAACCCGATTAACAATTCGAAGCGGTTATCCATTACACCACCCGCACATCCAAGCTTACAGCGCCTGGTATTCCCAAACAGTCACCCGTCTAGGTACTGACCAGGCTCGATGTTGCTTAACTTCAGTGATCGTACGATAACCGGTGTTTCAACTTATATGTGTATGTGTGAATAAAAGGAACAAGTAGGAAGTCTTTTCTTCCATATTCAATCATTCTGTAAATTTAATACATATATTCGATTCATATATATTGTATAAAGTTCAAATTAATTTGGTATACATATAGCAGATTTTCGACTGTCTTTAATGTCAAGTTTTGTCATTCCAAAATTAAGTCCGATAACATTTCTGAATATCTATCTGAAGAAAGTCAAGTCTCCAATTAAAAATTTTCTAAAAATAAAGTAACTTTTATAGAAATACGATAAAAAAAATAGTTAATTTGACAAGATTAAAAAATCACTTGGAATATAATGAAATATATATTGTTTAGAACGGAATTCTATTACCTGTCAATTCAATTACCTGTCAAAGGTGTTTTTCCTTTCTTATTTTCACCTAATACAAGTCTCAATAGCCACTCTAGTTGAGGTTGTTGAAAGTAGATAACAGTTGACCCAACACGTGAAGAAGTTAAGATTGTAGTTTTTGAGAAAGCATCCATTCGGGGGCCTGTCTCACAAAGTAACGATTCATAGGAAGAATCGGATCGAATAGAACTTTCTTCTTGCCAATGGAATACGTACGGAATAATTAAAAAAAAATGGTGCCTCCCACTGTGTATACGATACTGTGAGTTTTAGTAGTATAGTAGGAAAAAACTTGCCAAGGCTACGAGTAAACGCTTGTGAACTTCAGTCTGGAACGTAAAGATTGTGCAGCCCTAGCCCAGATATGGAATTAATACTACATTTTTGGTTTGATTTGAATCTTGTAAAAGAGAAAGCATGGCAGTAGTCAGGTACTTTCTGGAGCTGAACAGATCCGACCATTTTCCCAGCTTCTTTAGCGTTGGATCTCTATCTATAAAAGGCTGTGTGTGTGTAACGAATGCACGGCCGCAATTTTCGACGGATATGCACCAAAATTTACATGCACATGCTCCAAGTTAGTGGTAAGGCCAAGACCGACTTTGCATTTCCCAACTCCCATCGATAGTGGAAATAATCGATATTTTCATGCTTCTACGGCAATTTTCATGTATTCTGCAGCCATTTTGTACTGGCCAGAGTGAGAGCCTATAGCTGGCTGCCACGAATAGCCAGGAAGATTCTATTGGCCAGCGTGAGAGCCAAAAGCTGACTGACACAAATGTTAACTAGCATGCTAGCATGCAAAAAAAAAAAAATCGATAGCTGCATTCGTCATAAGTGGGAAAAATTTAAATCTGCATGGCACTTTACTCCAATTGGCTCATTCGCTTGCTTAAACTCAACACTCAACGTTGATTCTGATTCCGCAGAACTGGGTTGGGTGTGAAAAAGTATTTGTTGTTAACATTCTTTTTCATTCGGTTTTTCCAGTTACGAGTCCCTTTTTTAAAGCTGATTGTTTTGTGTTCATTTTGTTTAGTTCTTTTTTCGTAACAGATTTAATGTTTAGTATAGAGCTTAGAAAAAATTCGCAGTGTGAGATAGGCAAGAAGTAAGGCATATAGCAACATCAGCACGGCAAAGGGCAAAAATATTTTAAGTCAAGTGATAGCGATTGCTGTACGAGTCGTACGATATTTTGAATCAAGCACGGGCAACGATGGGCATACTGCTAGTCGTATATAGTTATTTTTAATAATTTCACCCCAAAGCAAAGCACTAATGCTACTAAGACACAGGCGGTTACAGGGAGTGAAAGAGAACGAAAAGACATTAGTGAGGAAAGGACAATAAAGGGAGAGGATTCAGGAAAATAGAAGATGGCGATTGACGTTGCATTTAAATGTTTGAAGAGTAGAAATGGAGGTTGCATCTAGCTAGTTCAACAAGTAAAACAGTGAGACCTAGTTGCCAATCTAGTAGCATGCTTCAATTCATGTAGTCGAGTCACTAAAGAAAAAAAGTTCATTAGAACAAGTGGCATGAAAATATTTGTCGGAAAGACAGAAGGAAGCACGTGACTGAAGTCGAGATTCCAGGTCAGGATCAATTATATTACAGACCCTTTTTTGAATTTTGTCAAGAATCTCGAGATATGTAGTAGGAGCAGCCAAATATGGCAGCAATATTCACTGCCCGAATGACTGATAGATTTATAAATGTGCAAGATGGATTCTGACGAGAAAAAAATTCTAGCACGACACAGAGAACCAACTTTCCTGGCTGTAGACGAAGCTTCGATATAGTCGCACTGCTTTATTTGATTTCACTCGAGGTCTGGCGGGAACTTTAGTTCCAGTAGCAATCATTGAGAGTACAACTGTACGTCATGACAGCAGAACGTTCAGGGCCTGGACGGTGTTAATGAAGCATTACTAGCTTGGTTTTGAAGGTATTAAAGACTAAATGTCACAGGCCAGTTCTTACTCCACTGAGCTGTTAAAGCTAGATCAGAAGAAAGATCAGCTGTCAGTTTCTGGTCTTCTATATTGAGTCAGCATTCCTAACCCATCTGTGATGCGACTCACTTAAATTTTAGAGTTTCAGAAAGTAAATTTTTTTTACGGCATATCAACCTCAATGGCTTATTTAATGCCGAAAAGATCTTTATTGCTGGTAATATTTTTTTCAAAAAAATGTATTGCTGGTAATTTGTTTTTTTTTTTCGAAAATATATTGCTGTAAATAATTTTTCTTCAGAAATTTATTCCTGGTAATAATCTTTTACAAATTTTTACACTTTCATAATGTTTTGATCCCTGTTTTGGGGTCAACTATTTCCTTATAACTGGGACCTTAAGAGGCGCTATCACCCCGGGTCAGGGTGGACCTGGGAACACCAGCAATTAAGAAGTGGTTTCACGCCCCTCAAAACCTCCTGATCAGATGCCTTGCTGTTGGATATAGTTTTTCGTCATACCCAGGACGCTGATGTAGTTTATCGTCATACCCAGGATGGTCAGAAAGTAGGTGAAGCCTATAAATAACAAAAAATGAAGAAACAAACAAAAGAAGAATAGTATCCCCTACAATAACCTACAATATCCGTATATTTCCGACATTAAAACACTGTTATATGTCAGCCAATACTACAATATCGATATCATTTTTTGATTCACTCTTTAGATCAAGCAGTAAGTGGAGAGTGGAATCCTGAATTTCACATTAATGCATCAAAAGAAATAAATTGTTTGAAATTTTACTCATCGATTACATTTTTGTCCTCGGGAAGCCACTATTATTTCCTATTTGCTTATGGCTGGAAAGTATGAAAAATGGATAATATTTTCTTCAAACTTTGCTTTTGTTATCATGGTAATGATATTTCTGAAATTTACCTATTCCCATTGGCAAAACTAGCGAATGTGAACATTCTCCTTCACGCAAAGTAGGAACAAAACGACCTTTGATTTAAAAGTGGCATTTATTTATTCTAGGGTTGCACAAGAGAGACTACCAAAAATTTAGAAGTTAGTAGTTCGTGATTTACACTTATACTGTAAATTACTTTCGCGAATCAGCCCCCTCCCAAATATAGTCTACCATGTCTTCGTTATCTTTTGGTAGCGGCGTTCATTGTCCAGTATATGCTGTTCGAAGAGCTGGCCATGCTCTGCTGAGTTCTCCCTCATATTCTTTTTAATTTATCGTCAAGGTTAGGGACTTTGAGGGACATCCTGCCGCTCTTTTGCCGTAGTTTTTCACCAGCGTCTCAACAAGCTTCACATAATTTTCGGCCTTATGATTCCACAGGAAGCCCGGAACCACTATGACAAAGCTGTTCCACGCTTTCTTCGTCCTTGTGAGCTTCTTAGGGAATTCCTTGCAGTCTATGATCTCCTTTATTTGTGGTCCGACGAAGATACCAGCTTTGACAGACAGCTTAGGGAGGAAGTCTGGAAGGTACTTGAAGGCTTCGAACTCCTTAACTGGAGCTTTGACAAATTTTAAGTGCAGTTGAGGAAACCATACTTTCCGTAGTTCCAAGTGTAGCTCTCATTTGACGTTTTTCCTCTCCCCACTGAACTCGGTCCACTGTGGCCAGTCCCGCCTGTGGTAGTGTAGCAAAGGCAAAAAATAGCAACAAACATAGCCGTCTTGGAGACCCATCAGAAAGGACATCATTTTTAAGTCTCCGATAGCCTCTAAACTGTATTCATATTTCAAGTCACCTAGATGGATACATGCTTCCCATTATGATGCAGTACGACTTTGGTGAGCTGTCGATGAAGAGGCGCCACTCTCTGGGGTTACAGGCGATTCCAATTACCTCGAACAGACTGATCACATTGTAGAAGAAGCAAAGCCCATCTTGATGGGTGAAAAAGCTTGAAAACACTGGTGACGCTTTCTCTGACATGCGACTTGCACATTTTCATTTAACAAATTCCATGCTTGAGTCACGACGGGGTATGAGTTTCTCTGTTCAGCTGCGTCTCTCTAATTTGGATCACTGACTTCATCCTGTTCTGAATTGCTGTTTTCTTATTGACGACAGTTGCTCTTTCTTTGCGGGGAGTGGGTACGGGGAGCTCGGGACAGTGTGGCACTGGGCGCGATGGGTGACAAGGGATGTGCATATATGATAGTAGGTTCATTTTTTTGCCAGTTTGGGACGTTTGGAAGGGCCCAACATGCAAAAGAAGCAATTACTTTAGTGGTCAGTTGGTTCCCTCCAAATTACGAATTTCATGGCTATATTTTCTCCTTTATCTAGGTCACAGAAGTTTGGAGGGGATAATAGTCATTTCCGTCGCTTTCTAGACAAGCAATTAGGAAATAACACTTACTAACAAAAGACAAAAAGTTCTAATTTTATTACAGTGTTATTATTACTACTAGTATAACCACGTCCTAAAAATGACTGCAATTGTTAGAAAGTTTTAATAGCGAGATGTAATGAAACAAAAAATGTTTAAACATTCTATTGAGATTCAATGAAACTAGGATAAAATATTTACAACAAAAGCAAAGGCCAATGAACTGTTTAATTAATCCTTTCCCTTTATATTTTTATACGTTTAACGGTATCTATAATTAATTGATTACTCCTGGTGTT